TTGCCCGGGCTAGAGTGCTGTGACATCAGTCTAGCTCACAGCAACCTCAAACTCCTGGGCTCGGGCAATCCTGCCTCAGCCTCCCAAGTAGCTGGGACTGCAGGCATGCGCCACATACCCAGCTAATTTTTTTTTATATATATTTTTAATTGCCAAGCTAATTTCTTTGTATTTTTAGTAGAGACGGGGTCTCGCTCTTGCTCAGGCTGATCTCAAATTCCTGAGCTCAAGCAATCCTCCCGCTTCGGCCTCCTAGAGTGCTAGGATTACAGATGTGAGCCACCGCGCATGGCCGAGTTACTATTATTATTCCCGTTTTACAGATGAGAAAACCCAGACCCAGGAAGGAGAACTGACTTACCCTAAGTCGCCCTGCTGGTAATGGCAGAGCTGAAATTCGAATTTAGATCCATCCAACTCTGGATTACTCCGCTCCCGCCCCTCCCGTGAGCGAGGCCAGTATTACGAGTAAACACGCAACGGCCAGATCACCCCACCCCTGCAGGGGACAGGTGAGCGGGAGGTGGGCGGGAGGCCGGCGGTGGGTGGTGGGCGGTGGGGAAGGCTCGGCTCAACCCTCATCTCTGCATGGGGCCGAGGGGTGTGGGGTGGAGCTCGTTGCCCAGGGCCGGACAGGGGAAGGGGGTTCTGCAGGAGCTGGGAGCCGGGAGACAGGGCCTAAGGGGCCAACAGAAGTTTGGACCGCGCCTGGGTCTGAAGGGGCCGACGAGGGGCCCAAGGGGACACACCTAGGGGGAAGTCCTGCCCTGAGGAAGGGGTACCCCAACCGAACGAGGGGCCCAAAGGTTGAGAGGGGACGGGGGAAAGGGTGTGGAGAAGCCCCCACCCAACGTCACCTGACTGGCTGTGGGGATGCGCAGGGCAGGGTCTGTGGGCCGATGGCCAGGTTAGGGCTCATCTTGGGCTCTGGAAATTGTGCCTGTGGCTTTGGGGCCACGGAAGGGCGGCCTCCTGGCAGTCTGAGGAAAGGTTGTCAGCAGGAAGGGACCTCTGACTGCCCCTCAGTTGGTTTGCAGCCCCAGTTGCCACAATCTATAGGAGGGAACAGTGGAGGGAAGGGTCCACTCCTTCAGCCTCCTCCTGCTTCCAAGTCCAGATGTGCTTCAGCTCGCCCACCTGTTCCCCGCCCTGGTCTCCAACAGTTGCCAGCTGTCCCAGGGAGGGGCGCAGGGACTGGAAGGTGCCAGGATCAGGATCGAGATGAGGAACCTGCAGCCAAGCCAGTGGTCCCCAGATGCTGGGCCAGGCACCAGGAATATCAGCTCTTTTACTCCTTGGAGTTATAGGTCCTTTAAAAAATTATAGTCAAGATAAAACAAAACAAAACCCAAGTCAGTGATAGTAGGTAACAGTTGTTTTGGTTTGAATGCCCTGGCAAAATACAAAGTTGTAATCACACGTTCCCCATCCTCTCTCCCTTTCTCACACATATTTATGAGAACAAATTCTCTGGCTCAATTTCAGATTTGGGAATCACTGAACTGAACTGCTGGCCCTTGGGGGCTGGTGCAGTGGGTCAGGCAGCACCAGCATTGACTGACTGGCATCCCCCATCCATCCTTTGCTCTCCAGCTGCCATTGTCTTTGTCAGCACAAAGGGACCTACAAATCCCCTTTTATATTCAACGGTCTATGATCCTCGAGACTGGCCTACATCAGTGTGTATCTTAAATTGTCTGTAGAGGCACAGGTACTCAGTCCTAGCACTAAGGGCGGTCCATACAGGGCCTGGCCAGTGCCCGGGGAAGGGAGGACAAGTTCCTCATCACTGGAGAGCAGCCTGGCCTGGGGGGGGGTTGGGACAGACAGGGGGTAGTGTCCCTAGGCAGGGGAGAACAAAGCCCTGTGTCATGTGACATGTGTTTTCCCCCCAGTAGTTACCAAGAGCTTCCAAGTTCCTGTCTTTTCATTTCTGAATCCGTACCACTGGCCTATGCTGGGCATGGGGTGACTCATAAGTGCACAGTGAATTTTTGTCTAGGGAATGGATAATGGCTAGTAGCTGGGAGGGCTGTGTGGAGTGGACGGTACAAGCCACACTTGTTAGGGGAGTGGATTTGAAAGGCTTGGAGGGGCAGAGCAGGCACCCATGGGGAGGAAACTGAGGCACGGAGGGCCTAGGGTGACTGGGGTGTTCCAGGTGTGGACAGAGGTGTGGCAGCCTTGGGGGCAGGAAGGATGGATGCTTAGGGAACTTACGAAAGGAACACTGAGAAGATGAGGAAGGCTGAGGAGATGGAAGTGTGTGGAAGGGAGAGAGAAACCAGCATGAGCTCAAGGCTAGAGGTGGGGTGCAGGAGAGGATGATGGAAATAGGGAAGACACCAAGGTCACTTCTAGACAAGTTGAGGTCAGGGGGACAGGAGGAGGTGCTGACTACCAAATGAGAGTGCTCAGCACACACCATCTGCAGAGGACAGGGGCCAAGGTGCAGCCGTGACTCCTTCCTGTTGAGTTCTAGAGCCAGCAGGACTCCTCAGCTCTCTCTGGTCCAACCAACTTCATCATTTTAGAGAGAAGGAGGCTGAGGCCCTGAGGGTAAGGTGACTGGTCAGTGTGACCTGGAGAGAGGATGGAAGATGGAAAAGGGAGATTTTGAGAAAGGGAAGGATACAGTTTTTCAGGTGGGAAGGAGAGAAACCAGCGAAGGACAGAAAGGAAGAAGAAGGACTTTGGAGCATTTCAAGTCATTCCGACAGCATCCAAGAGGAACACTTAACGTTTTTGGGTGTGGGGGATGTGCAGAAGGGGACCCACCCCTTTGCCCTCTGCCCTTAGGCTTGTTTAGCCATAGCCATCAGCAGTTAGGAAGATGGCCCTCCCCTCAGCTGCAGTGAGGGCCTCATCGGGACTGTGGGGAGGCCCCAGTGCCTGGCACTGGGCATGGTGTTGGCACAGGGCGCAGGGGAAAGGGGAGAGAGAAGCACCTGCACCCCACAGCCTTGTCTTCTGCAGTCACCATGCTCAGCTTGTAAACTTTGATGCCGCCAAGCCCATCCTACATAGGCAGGAGTCTCTAGGCCTGGCGTTGGGTGTGACTTGGAAAGAAGAGCTGTTGTCTAGGGATGCACCCGCCTCCTCAGGTCTTCCTTTCACCTGATGCCCGCTTCTGCACTGCCAGGTAGCCAGGGTCGTCACAGCACCACCCGGAGGTCTGCAACCAGGCCCGTCCTTCCTGCAGCCAGGCTCCAGCCACCTCCTCTCCCTTCCCTGCTCCTCCCTCGCTGCCTCCAGGAAACTTTCATTCCTTGGAGCTGCCAGGCTCAGCACAGAGAGGAAAGGACTCTTTGAATAGGTTTGCCCTGAAGCTGTGAGTGGCTACTAGCCCCTTCTCCCACAGGGATATCTGAATTTTAGAAGCAGTCTGCCCTCTGCCCCCTGCCCCCCAGCTTTAACCAAGCACC